CCCCAAAACCCCAAAACCCCAAAACCCCAAAACCCCAAAACCCCTTTACTCGAAATGGAAGTTGAAATCATTTTATTCTTTTATCTCATTAACATCAGCGATTGATGTCAAAAGACCTTTGATTTTGCTATCTTTGTCCTCATTGTTTGCTAGATGTCTTGCTTGGTTATGCACTGGATCGAATTCTCCTCTTCTCAAGTTAAAAATAAGCCTAAGTCTAGGATAGGAATCCAAGAAACTATCAATCTCATCATCATATTTCCCCTGATAGATGTCGAACACCTGGAATTTGAACGAAAGCGAATTTTTCTGGTTCCTCTTCTTCAGCTTGGCAAGGTAATCATCCACAATCCATTTCATTGACTTCTGAATTACGTCAGATCTGCTCTTCTCGGTTTGGTTTTCGATCAAGGAATATATCTTCGAGTAATCTCCAAGCTCGATGCAAAATCTAGTAGTGTTCTCAATATCTTCGTACTTCTCAGCAAGATCAAGGGCGTAATCTAGAGAAAACTCCTCAACTTTAACGATGAGTTGGCCTCTGACAAACTTGAATTTTTCAAGATATTCAGTGTCGTGAGAGTTATGCTCTTCAATCTCACGAGCATGATCAAGCTCCCGTAATAAGGTGTCTGAAAGCTCGTAAAGCCTATCATTCAGCCTCGCACTTTGGTTTAGCCTGATTTGCTCTGGAATCATGTCAATGATCCTTTTGACAGGGTCAATGAAGCTGTTGGAGTCCATCGTCCAGAAGATAGCATGATGACGGTACTGGTAATCAGTAAACTTGTCTCTATACTTCTGTACTTCCTTGATTGCATCAAGTACTATCTGCGTGATGTAAAGCAAAGTGTTCTCTTGAAGGCCATCTTGCATCATGTGGTCAAACATGGTCTTTGCAAGGTGCCCTATTAACGCTGAAGAATCTGATCCTTTAATGGGATGGCTGTAGAAAATGAGAGAGGATGTATTCCCCTTCTGCCTAATCTCCCTCCTCGAAATCTTATAAAAGTTCTGTACTATATTCTGGATAGTCTGGTTCAAGATAACAATCGACTGGTAATTATCAAATTTTGAGGATAGTTCATCATGACTTTTCTTTATAGATTTAAAGAAAACCAACTTCTCCTCGATCACATTCAAGTTGTAGTTGAAATCAAAACCAGCCTGCTCGAGGAAAGACCTGATCACTGAGACTCTATTTTGCTTAGTGGTTAAGCTCCAATTTATTAACTCAGGATTTTCAAGAGTGTAGTTTAGCGAGTTTTCAGCCTTAATCTCTTCTCTCTGGTTGTCACACACCATAGAGTCCTTGATAGGATCATCAATCAAGATTTTAGTGACATTCATTAGGATTTCATAGAAAGCTTCATTGCCATGAGACTTTTGCATGGAGATTAAGTCACTTTTATTGGTCTGAGATTCAGTGATCTCCTGATTGCTCTTAATCATTTCAAGGATCTTCATTTCATCTTCACTCTGCACTCGAGGAAGACCTTCTAGGTTGGCTTCATGGATTTGCCTCCTTTGGCTATTGGCCTTCTCTATCTCTTTGAGGAAGAACTTGTTGAGGGTTTTAAAGCTATGCTCTCTGATAAGGCTAAAAATTATGATCTCTCTGTCACTAAAGAGGAGATAATTGCGCACATTTTTATCAATGAGAATTCCACCTCCTATGATTCTAGCCTTGAGGTTTCACATCTCAATATCTTCGCTAAAGAGGTTCATCACTCTTGTATGAGTAGGGAAGCAGAGGAAGATATAAGTCACAGTGCCAATGTTAGTCACAACAAGGCATTTTACTTGCTCATCCTCTTGTTTAAATTCTTTCTCTGCCTCAAGCAATGGATCTGTAGGGAAATCTCTGAATCTCTTTGCTTCAGTGTCAATGCTGTAGCGTAGAAGAAGATATTGGGTATAATGCTTCTCAGAATCGTACTTCTTGTAGACAACCTGCACAAGGATGTTCATAATAGGATCAGTGTCTACTTCACGTTCGATAATTTCATCCCCGATTATTTTGAAGGTGAGAATTTCTCCAGGAATCGATTTGTACCTCTTAACTCAATTTTGAACGTTGATGCTCCATACATCTGTGCCTTCAGTGGTGATGCCCCAGATGGTAATGATCTTCTCCCCAATTGTGTAGAGAACCAACTTATTTTTGAGGTGTGTCTCACTGTAAATTTTATGAACATTAGTTTCTTCTTCCTCTTTGCTAGTGAAAAATGAGGTCAGAGGCTTAAAAAATTTCTTTGGTGGTTCTAGAACTAGTTCATCAAGCTTAAGGAAGTCTTCGTCCATCAATAGCTGGGCTGTCACAGTCTTCCCATTCGTGGTTGTAAACACGACTGAAGGGATGTTGTCTAATGGGGAAGAGATTAAGCTAAACGCAGTTACTGCTTCTCCCTCATCGAGTGTTTTAGCTTCATATGTAGCATATCTTACGTCAAACTCCTGATTAACGATCCGAGAATAGAAGGTCTTGCCTGAGGAAATTAGTAGAAAGTCATTATTTTCAGTATTCGAAATTATAATTTGATCTGCTTTGATCTCCCCAACTTCTGTAGGTAGCTTCATATCAAAGAAAACATTTTTATGGTTGTAAATGAAGATATTTGCTTCATAAAGGACCCATCCAATCTCGAGGTTGGTATCAAAATAGCAGCTGAGGCCTTCCCGATTCTCTTTATACGACTTTTCAAGTCTATCTCTAATGACACCTATTGTTTTAGTCTCGAGGCCTTTTGAACCCGCTTCATGGTTTGATTTATGCATTTTAATATTTATTAAGTCTAATTGTTAAGGGGTTTTGGGGTTTTGGGGTTTTGGGGTTTTGGGG